AATAGCATGCTAGTATCCGCCGGCACCATGAACATGACCATTTTATTTTGTTAAAGGTCCACACTCGGGACCGAAAATTGCTTCTCGAGCTTTGAGATCGAACTCGACCCATATGATCCCAGTTGCACGACCCTTTTTGAGATCTCCGGGTGGCCAAATCCAGAGTAATCCTCCAGCATACCAACGTCTACGCCCTCGAAAAACAAGTTAAGGGCATCGTCTACAACCTAGGACATTTTGGTCTGTTTCTCTTCAGTAACCCGAGCTTCATTTAATATGGCCTCCATACGAGACGGTGACTCTTGAATGTGGATGAAGGCATCACCTTCAAAGGCGGCCCTCCTCGTACAGGAGGGGCTTCTTGCGAAACAGTGGCCACATATTCTTCTTTAAGCCCCTGAGCTAAGGAAGATTCAACCTTTAGAGCATCCCCCTCCGGGGCCACCAAATCTTGGTCGGCATCAATCGGCCCATGAGTGACGAACTCCATGTCCTCGTCATCCTCGGGAAAGTCTTTGAGCCGATGAAGAGCTTCAGGATCCGGGAACCGGGCACCCAAAGTATTTTTGGTGCTCTTTTTAACCCTGAGCGCACTCATTTTTCTCTTCTTGGCCTCGGCAGGAGCGTCCGAGGAGTCATGAGATCTTTTCTTCTTCTTCTTCTTCTTCTTCTTCTTCTTCTTCTTCTTCTTCTTCTTCTTCTTCTTCTTCTTCTTCTTCTTCTTTGTTTTCTCCTCCTTCTTTGGAGCAGCTTTGGCAACAGGCTATAGAGAAGTGAAGGGTTTTATAGAGGGGGTCGATGTCACAACATCGCCGATTTCCCGTGAAAAAACCTATGGATAAAGGACTTAGTCATAACAATGACAGAATAAAAAAGACCAGCAAAAAGATTCAACCTAAAAAGGGGGCACTCACCGTGAGAACGAGCCTCCCACTTGCCTTTAGAGAGCTTACGCCACTCAAGCTCGGGATAGGTGAGTTGCTTGCATATACCCTCGACCCGCTCCCTAAAATACGGGACCGCGTTGGGGACTCGAAGAACAACTGCATGTCAAAAAAAACATGTCATGAGAATGAAAAATAGATACAAAAGTACTTTGATGACTTAAGAGGAAGTAAACTTATGATTTAGGTTCCACTTCTCGGGGAACGAAATGAACTCGGAAGGAATGAGGTCCTCGGTCTTTATCCGAACGAACCTACCCTGCCAACCTCGATCTCCGTCTTCGTCTATACAGGAGAAGGGAGCTTTCTTTGCTCGATGGGCAAGTTTGATTAACCCCCTTAGGAAGATTCGGGGGTTGTAAACTCGGAGCAGGTGATCGGCCATGAACCAAGGCTCCTCCGTATTGTTCGCAAAATGACGGAGAATGGTCACAATCCTCCAAAAGGACAGGTGAACTTGTCCGAGGTAAATTTCTTACCCCTTGCAGAACTCGAGGACCACAGTGTCAACAGGGCCAAACATGAAAGGATACGTGTAAACACTTAAGTATCCTTCCACGTATGTCCTGATGTCCTCGTCAGGGCAAGGGAACAACTATGTCTTTGACGTCACATTTGCAGTCCTCTCGGACAGCCTTGAGCTTCTCCTCGGTAATAGAGCAAACGCACCTCCATACCTCCTCACCCCAATCTCCTTGTGCGTAGGCCAATTTGACTTTTAAGTCGTTATCTATGGAGCAGCCGCCAGGGTTAAAATCTGTAAGGGAGGTCCCAAGGTTACTACCAGAGGTACTGCCTCGATGCCGATAGCCGAGGAAAAGGTCGTCGGTCAAATATTTTGAGGTACCGATTTTGAAGTCTTCGCCATTGTATCTAAGTATATGAAGATTTAAAGAATGGATATGAAGATTTGGTATGAAGATTTGAAGGTAAGATATGAAGGTTTGAAGATAAATTGTGAGGATATAAAGATGTGAATAACAAGTTATGAAGATTTGAAGGATTGATTGAGTAGATGAAGGTATAAAAAATGGAGGATAACTCAAAGAAATTTGGAATCAAAAAGTAAAAAAGTGAAAACAGGAAACCGAAACTTTTATAGGGAAAAAGTAATGAGTGCATGACGTTTCGAATTCGGTAACTATTGGGGGTGATCAACCGATGGCTGATGCGTGTCCAAAGCCAGAGTGACATGACTGATGGGACGTTTCGGTTCGTCAGCTTGCTAATGATGTATGAGAGAAGGAACCAGGGTCAATTAGTCACTTCTCATCGCTCCTATAATCTACTCTCAGAGAAGTGAGGGGACTATCTGTGTACGGATAAAATCGGGGATAAAGTTACCCCTGATCTCCCGTTGAAGAAGCGAGGAACAACGTTACTCGTTACTAGCTCGAATGAGACCGAAGGCGCCCACATATCTGAATCAAAGGCGGACGAATGATACATCGGTAATCGAGCATGGCCGAACCCGGGAAGAGTCAAGCTCGATTGAAATGAAGAATTAAGGGTAAAAGAAATATGGCTAAAGAGGACAAACATGGAACCGAAATATCTGTCATCATCCGGATATAGTGACACGGATCACGCCCCCAGTATTAACTGCAGATCATGTTTTCGTGGGAGGAATGAAAGGAAAAGATTTTTACCTTGTTTAGACTTGTATTAGGGTAAGAACTCCTCTACTATATAAAGAGGAAGACCCCTTTATATTTTGAGATTGTTACTGGCATACATATCAAAGCAACAAAAGTTACTTTGGCTTTTAACAATTGTTAAGCATTCTTCAATTGTTCATATATTTATTTGAATCAGAGCCCTATTTCGAAGGCTCAATCGAGACCGGCTATTGGCACTTAAGTTGAATCCAAGGCTTAATTATTACGTCAATTCGATTTGATCGTTTCATTTCATTTCAATTCAATTATTTGATCATTTGTGTTAAATCAAATCACATATCCTTTAAACTGCGTACAAATTTAATTGTTATCCATTTTAGGGGTAAATAATGTATATAATTTGTATATATGTGGGGTGATGGGTATACGTCTAGATTAGTAGAGGGGTTGTTGGTGCGCATGCAGCAGAGAGAGGCCGAATGTGGTCACCGTATCGGTTTGCCAGCCACGATAAGATTGTTCTAAATCATTTCTTCTTATGAAAAACTCCAATGCCTTCTTTAAAATAAAATAAAAAAATCTCTACAACTCACCATGCACCATTGTCTTTTAATTCGTTCTAAACAAAATATCCATTTAACTCTGAAAATAATTTAATTTATATTTTTTTATTTTACTTTTAGTGACAAATTTCAATTTATAATTATACAAATATTATACCATATTTAAAATAACAAGTTTAGGAATCTTAAAACTTCTTTCCTTTTCAAAAATATTACTACATTAAAATGAATTTTATACCTCTATTGAACTATTGTCCTTTTTTGTTTTCTAGTGCGTTGGCTTGGTGCTATACAATCGAAAGGGAAGATATAGATTACATAAGGCTTGCATGCCTTGGCATAACATACTCCAATAATTGTTGTCATGCATTCAAGCAGCTTGTTTATCATTGTGTCCCTCTAAGAATAAGCCACCACGTGATTTACGAGTGTACGTTGGTCTCTCGAATTTTCAACGATCCATATATATTTATTACTTTGATGTAACCAAATATCCTCTAACTTTTGAATAAAATATGGATGTACGATTTTTTTTTATTTTTAAAAAAGAAAAGTTGACTATGTTATACTAGTATTTTCATTTATCGAGGTAATACACGAGTGAAGAACAATATATAGTTACGGTATTTTGACCTGTGAACAGATGTCCTCCCTATTCTATCTAATATGATATTGTTCTCCAAAAGATTATTTTTATGAAATTGCTACATGTTCTGTTAAAGAGCTAAAATAAGCAGTTGATCGAGCTTTAAATATAAGAAGCCGTTGCTTGCTTGTGTTGTAGATTTTTTTGTAAAGTTATTGTTTTTCCTTCTTTTTTTTTTTTACATGGAAGTTACTATCTAAAGAGTAAACAATTGCTTCAATTAGGATTGGAGGACTTTATTATCCCAAATTTGACGTAGAAACAAGACAAGAACAAATAGGGAATTTGATTTTCTCGGCCAGCTTGATATTATAGGTTATTTTGTAGAAGTAATTTTTTCAATGTACCAATAGATACTTATTGTAGGAAATTTATTTTAACTGATTTAATTAAAATAATCTAATTATGTAAATATTGTTTATACTAGTAGCTAGCTAGTATTTATTTATAACTTAACATCTAAATGTATGTGGTGTAAAAGTAAGTAGTAGTAGATATAATGAAGACATATGGGCAGGATACCTTTCTAATTATAATTACAGTGGACCTCTTTGTTTGAAGCAGCGACATTATTATTTTTCCGGAAAGCAGTTGTTTGTTTCCGGAAAAACCATTACTTTCATTTATAATGAATGAAAAATTATAAAGTGTATTTCATTTTTCAAAAAGAAAAACCTTTCACTATTTCTCAAAGTAATTTTTTTCGTCACTTCTCAAAGTAATTCTTTCCAAAATAAAATAAAATAAAAAATGAGTACGTCTATTTATCTTTCCAAAAAAAGAATATTGAAACCATTTTCTAAGTTGGGGAAGGAAATTTGTGTTAGTATTTGAGCTATGGAAATGGACTTAGTCATAGCGGATTCAAAATTCACTTAGGGAATTCTAAGTATAAAAAAAAAAACATATGAAAAAAAAAAATTAACATACAACATATATACATAAAAAATTGAACAATCTACACAATATAATTTTATGATAAAATGTACCAATTGACTCTCCGTTCTTAGACTTACTCATATAGAAGTAGACTATAGGATTAATAAACAAAAACAAAATGCGCGTGGCAATGAACCTGGATTTATATTGTTGTCTAAAAAAGGATATCTCATGCAAAAAATAACCATAATCTTGTATTCATTTTGCTTACGTTCATTATTCTTGGTTGCCTCATCCGCATGCCCACCATCTCCATCCCCCNCAGTATTGGCACCAACACTCTCCCACTCAAGAAAAAACAAATATTACACTTTATAACCTTGTCCAAGATTTTCAGTAATATTCAAGTTTAAGTGATTTATAATTATCTGATCATATATAGTTTCATCAAATGGCTGCTTCTGGTTTTGAAGGATTTGAGAAGAGGCTGGAGCTACACTTCTCCGGCGATGATCCGGTGATCGGAATGGGTGGTCTCCGGCAGGTTGACTTTTATTCCTTAGAGGAAGTATTACATGCTGTGCAGTGCACCGTAGTATCAGCTGTTGGTAACCAATATTTTGATTCTTACGTACTATCAGAATCAAGCCTTTTCGTCTACCCCACAAAAATAATCATCAAAACATGTGGGACCACTCAGTTGTTAAAATCTGTCCGTCCATTTATCCACTATGCATGCGAAATTGGGCTTATTGTAACAGAGTGTAGGTACACTAGAGGAAATTACATTTTCCCAAAAGTCCAACCTTACCCCCATACAAACTTCAAAGAAGAAATTATTTACTTACAAGACCAATTACCTAATCATCTTTGCTACAGAAAAGCTTCTGTTATGCCTTCAAAATTCACTTCACATTCTTGGCATGTATTTTCTGCTAGTTGTGACAAGTGTTACTCACTTCCCATTTCGAACGATTTGTACTCGGTGGAAATTTGCATGACGGATCTTGACCGGGTACTTGCCCGGAAGTTCTTTAAACATCCGGATACTACCGGAAAACAGATGACGGAGATAACCGGAATCGGAGATATTAACTCAAATGCATTGATTTGTGACTTTGCATTTGATCCTTGTGGATATTCCATGAATGGTATTGACGGAGATCGTTACTCTACAATTCATGTAACGCCAGAAGATGGTTTTAGTTACGCGAGTTTTGAGTGTGTGGGGTCCATTTACGATGATCGTGATGACATTGTTAAGGTTTTGAAGAAGGTGGTTCAGGTTTTCCGACCAGGGACGATGTCCGTGTCGATCACGTGTACGAGCAGCAGTGAGATTTGGAGCAGAATTTTTAAAGCCGTAGAGCCTCTTGGGATGAAACGCCGGAGTTGCACGGTTGATGAATTCCCTGCTGCAGGAACTGTGGTGTTTCAAACTTTTACGTCCACCAGGAAATAGGTGAATTGTATGATGATGATCAGATTTCAGGATTTGAAAGTTTTAATATTGAACTCATTATATTTTAAAATTATGGGTTCATAATACAATATTTATTAAAATTTCAGTAAATTTTTATACATATATATCTATGTTCAGCTATAATTATTAATTTCATACGAACCCATAAATTATAAGCTTCATCCGCCTTTGGTATTGGTATGCTATGTGTGGCGGCAACGGCTATGGTTGGTGGTAGTGTCACGGTGGTGTAAGTGTGGAAGATATTTAGGAAAGTATATGGTGGAAGTTAAGTAGGGGATCCGTCTTTTTAATGTATTATTTCTTAGAGTTAAGTAGGGGATCCTTAGTATATGGTGAATATTGATGCATGGGGTAATGCAATTGCATTGGATTGGATGTGAGCTTTGACTAGTGTAGTTTTGTTAAAAGTGTTGAGAAATGGATGAATGGGAAATGGTGTAGTTGATACATCATGATAATGCAACCCACTTATGTTTGTCCCGCCTAGAGAGAGAATTTTGATCAAATTCCCTCTTTTGTGTCATGTAGTGGTGGATATATAACTGTAAGAAAAAAAAAGGAGGCATGAACCTTCTACGTACAATCTCTTTAGTTTTCATTTGTCTTCTCATTTTTTTTTTTTTTTTTTTTTTTGCTCTAGTTTGTAAAAAAGAAAGAAGTAGTAATACAAATGAATCAGTATATCCATGCCTAAGCGTGCTTTTAATGACACGACCGAATAGCAGGCGGACGTGCTTGCATTCATCATCTTCGTATATGACGCAAATGCATTATACCCTTTCCGTCTCGTTTTCGTTTGGTATTTAAATGTACATAAAATTTATGAAATAAAGAAAGTTCTATCGCATGAATTAATATTGGGATTGTTACACAAATAGCATGCCCTTTTTCATATATATATATA